TCCTTCTTCTGCATTTTTCTTACTAAAAATTTTACCTCCTCTTGCTATGAATATTAATTTTACTTCCTGTATGGAAACAGACGTTAACTCTCCATAAACCACAATACTCCACTAGTAAAACTGGAATGGGTTATCCTATCAGGTGGTGGAACTTCTAATCACTGCAAAATCAAGATGAGGCAACTTGGACTGACCATCTGTGAAGATGTTGCAGAGAAAACACCTAAATGAATTACATGGTTTCTAAGATCTTCTCCTAATTTCAGATTCTAGTCATTAATTCACTCTTGTATCCATCCATCCATTCACTCTTTGTTCCAAGGAAAACTCTACAGGTCTTCTAGGAATTCATAAAATACCACAAGAGAACACAAATTGGAAGAAGCAAGAGAGAGAAATAAGAAGCCAGGTTACAGATAGCAAATGAAGTCAGAAGTTAGGCAAATACAAAAGGGCCCTTCTTACCAGCCTGTATGTTGTTAGATATAAAGCCACACCTTTGGCTTCCAGTTTTCCAGCAGTCAGGGCTGGGAGTAAGGCTTGATCAGCTACACAATTTGCAGTGCCTTTTAGGCACAATTCTTCTTGGTTCTAGGACCAGAAAGAAATGTCCCCTGATCCCAGCCCCACAAAAGTGGCACTTTATATTACGGTATTTCTTTTTCCAGGTCCCCTTTGGGCTTTTAGTCATTTTGCTAACTGCCATCTCTCTCCCATTGGGTGACACTAGAGAATACTGACAGCCCTGAAGCTGAGAGCTATTGCCCCACAAATGAAAATAATAAAAATGATTTTCCTCCTTAGAGTTCAACACACATGCCCTCTTTGCTTGGCTCTTGTCATGATGCCTTTTGAATAATAACCTCAACTACCATTTACTGAGAAGGTGGGCACTTTCCCATTTTGACCTCGAGTCTTCACAATAACCCTAAACAAGATAGCATTTGCCTGTTTAACAGAGATGGGGAAACGGAGTCAAGGGAAATTATCTGTCCAAGGTCACACAGCTGGTAAGTAACAGAGCCAGGATTCTAACCCAGGGCTGTCATCCTTCCTAGACTGTCTTCTTTCAGTAATCCCATTGCTGTTTCCTTTTTCCTGATGGCATTTTTAATCACCTTCTAAGTTCTTTGACTTTTATCTGAAGACCTCCGTGCTGGTTAGGCTAAAGGTTAATTGCTGTAACAAAGAAACTCAAAATGTAGCCCTTTAAACAATATAGGAGTTTTTGTTTTGTTTTTTTGCTTTTTGTTTTTTTCTCTCATGTGAAGTTCAGAATCGAGAGAACTTTACTGATTCGGAAGTAAAGAGATGTAGGAGTTGCACCGGTCACCACGGATCATATATCATTGTGTGCAATGGAACTTTGGCTCACATTCTTCAGCGGCTGCAAGGGACTCTGGCAAATTTTAGCTCTGGCTGGGTGATCAGGTGCCCAGCTAAATTCCATGTGCTTGTTCAGGTGGGGGTGAGGTTCTCTTACTTAAAAATGAAGAAGACAGGGGCACCTGAGTGGCTCAGTTGGTTAAGCTTCTGACTTCGGCTCCGGTCATGATCTCACTGTTCATGAGTTCAAGTCCCACATCTGGATCTGTGCTGACAGCTCAGAGCCTGGAGTCTGCTTCTGATTCTGTGTCTCCCTCTCTCTGTGCTCCTCCCTACTCACACTCTCTCTCTCTCTCTCAAAAATAAATAAACATTTTAAAAAATGTTATAAAGGAGAAAGACAGTCTCAAGGGAACAGTTATAGGCTCCATCACAGTTCCCCAGGAACATTTCTTATCTTTCTGATTCCAAGTTTTATTATGAGTCAGCATTCATCCACCAGTGGCCAGGCTGTCTTTTTGCCATTTGCTTTATATGTGGCAGAGAAATGGATGCTGTCTCTTGGGTTTTACAAGTTCTCTTCACTTTCATTTCTTCTCTGCCCACAAAAGGAAAGTCATTATGCACATAGAAATATTGAGCTAAAAATGAGTTTCTGATTTTACAGATGGGAATATTGGGATGCAAAGTGAATGACTTGTGTAAGGTTATTGGAACAGTAAGGGAGGTGGGACTTGAACCCGGGTATCCTGCTTCCATCCCATCACAAGGATATAAGTCCCTCGCCACCTAAGCCCCTTCCTTTGCCATTTTCCTGCTGGAGGGCAATACCAAGAAAACGAATGACACATCTGGAAAACTTCAAAAGCTCTGAAGTTTTCCTTAGAAAATCATTAAAGGTGAGGCAAATCAAAACACAGACAAATCCTTCCACCTAGATGAAGCACAGCAATGCTCATTTGAAAACCAGTAGAAGCACTCCAGAATCTCTCCTCATAGTTTCCAGGCTTCCTATAAATCTTCCTGACACACCTGAAGACATTCCTCCTTCACCAGCCTTGCAGTCTGCTCTGCTCATTGACATGAAAGGGCTACGCCATGCATCAGAAATTCCCAGATCCATTAGCACCATGAGAACCCAGGATGATGTTGCTTTTGGTCCTTTCCTTTCTTCTTTTCTTAGCTCAAATTCAATGCTGCTTGAGGGACTGCAGGAATTCCATGAGCTCTAGAGTCTGGGTGCATCAGCCCCTCAAAAGCAAAGTAGTCAGACAGGCAGGCTGTCAACAGGTCCGCTCAGCCTGGTTTTTCTTCACTGAAGAGGAGAGACGAAGAACAGAGGAGGGATGCAGAGGCCCCTAGTTTATGTGTGGTAGATGCTCCTTTTAGTAGTATGTGTCTGAGAGGGTGTGTGTGGGGGGGGATTGAAAGGGGATATAGGTGTGATTTGGGTGTGTGTATTATCTGAAGGGAGAGGAAGAGAAGAGGAAACAAAATAGAGAATGAAAGAGAATTCTAGAATGTGTGTCAGAAGTAAAATTGAGGAGGAGGCAAGAGGTGTAGAGAAAGATCTTAGAACGAGTGTGAGGGAGGGAGGGAGAATAAAGCACAGGTGAAGGAGAACTCTTGATGGGAGAGAAGTGACTTAAGTGTCATCCCATCCATCCTGCAGTCAGTCAATCACTGGCAGTGTTGTAAAGGCTGTAGAAATCTCAGATGTCTAGAGATCATGGTCCCACCCACAAGGAGCTTAAGAGGAATTTGGGAGGGATGCCTAGGTGGCTCATTGAATTAAGCAGATAAGTGTCTGACTTCAGCTCAGGTCATGATCTCGGTTAGTGAGTTCGAGCCCCACGTCAGGATCTGTCCTGACAGCTCAGAGCCTAGAGTCTGCTTCAGATTCTGTGTGTGTGTGTGTGTGTGTGTGTGTGTGTGTGTGTGTGTGTCTTTCTCTGCCCCTCCCCCACTAGTACTCTTTCTGTCTCTTTCTCTCTCTCAAAATAAGTAAACATTTAAAAAATACTTAAAAAAAAAAAAAAGAGTTGGGACAGACAGGAGAAAGACCCAAGAGCCCCAAAGCAGGGAGGAAAGTGAGAGCCAGTAAGGCTGTGGGGAGAGACTAGCTCAGTGAATTTGTTGGGAGGTGGAATGGGGACTGAGGAGGACCCTCCTCCATTACTGAGTTCAACAAGAGGTCACCATCAAATAAATTATAATAGTCTACCGTATAATGTGCCACCAAAAACAATGACATAGATGCTCATTGATAAAAACTGAAAGAGATCCATAACTTATTATGAAGTAGAAAAAAGGCAGGAAATGGTACATAAGGTATGGGGCAATTTTATTTTAAAAATTACGTATTTTGATACGTGAAAAAATATCTGGGAGGAGATACATAAAATTGGTAAGTGGTTATTTTTGGATGAGAAGATCTTGATTTCCTTAGTTTCTTCACTTTTTTTCCCCCAGTGAGCATGTAGTTCGTTTACATTCAAGAAAAGAGGAAAGAGAATGTAAGAGGGAGAGTGTCAGGGTGTGAGATAAGAGCAAGCACTTACCAGTTCTTTCTTGGAAGGTGCAAAAGGCTCTGCCTGGAAGCCAGAAACTAAGACTGACCACCCTGGCTGCTCCCCTGTGGCTCCCCTCTCTTCCCCTCCCTTCCCCTTCCTCCTCCCCTTTTCCCCCTCATCTTCCCCCACCCCACACCCCAGCTGACCCTTGGGAAGGTTGCCTCCCTCACCCTAGGCAGAGCTGTGCTCTGCTGGAATGTGCCCTTGACCCTGGGAGAGGAGGAGGAGAAGGGAGGAGCAGTGGGGTTTCCATTCAGGATTTCCCCCTCTGGTCCCCAGGCAGCAGAACTGAGTCAGGCCTGGGGAACAAGAACACACACATTCTCCTGCTCAGATGGACTTAGAAGATGACTTTGTCTTGCCCCATGTGACACTCAGACTGGGAATTCTTATGGAGAAAACCTGAGGAGCTCGGTCTTGGCAGCTGACAAATGTGAAATTCCTGCCCTGATAGATTCTTTAAAGCATGGGTTTGAAGTTTGCTCACACTGCTGAGGCCACCTGCCACGTGGGCAGGGGCAGCTCAAAAATCAGCCAGCTGTGGGGCTGGCAGAAAGTGAGACAGTGATAAATACCCTTTGGATTTAACACAGATCCCAGAAGGTCTGGGACTGACTTTCTTATTCAAGTCCATCTTGCTCCAGCCATTACTGGACAGGCTTCTTGTACAAATGAGTTTTTCTACATTACGCACATCAAAGAGAAAAATCTATTTAAGCCATTATTTAAGACACAATTGCTGACAGCTGCTCTGCTCACAAACGGTGACACAATTTCTCTCTAGAGGAGATGGCTTTTGTTTAGCACAATTCAGTTTAATTAGGTGTTCAAGCTTGCACCCCTCCCTGTGCCCCCTCATACCCCCTACCAAGGATGGTTGAGACAGTGAGGAGAAAGCAGAGAGAGCTAAACTCTCTGACAGCAAATGAATAGAAACTCTGGGGCTTGGAGAAAGGAAGTTTTTTAAAAGTAAGTGAAATGGTGGCAAGGGTAGACGATCTAGAAAAAGGCAGGTGGAAGGTCTAGTGTCTGTGGTGCTTAGGGACACCTAGAATAGATTTTTATATTCAATGGGTATTTTTTTTTTTTAAGTAGGCTCTATGCCCAATGTGGGGCTTGAACTCACAACCATGAGATCAGGAGTCTCATGCATTACCAGACTGAGCCAGCTGGGCCCCTGTTTTTGTTTTTGAAATCAGTTCTGACACTCAATGCCCCTCCCCAGTGATCCCCATTATAAAGAACATTATTCAAGAGAATGCGTGTGGGACCAGTGGCTAGAAACTGGACTCTGGGTCAGGCTGCCTGGTGTGAGACCCAGCTGTGTCACTTGACACATCCAGAACCTTGAATAAGTTCCCTGACTTCTTGAAGCCTCTGTTCCTTCACCTGGAAAATGAAAGGGATAATATTTGTGAGGATTAAATTTGGAAAGATTAAATGAGATCAGCTGTATAAAGTACTTAGGACAGGGCTCAGCTCCCAGTAAGTGTTTAGTAAGTGGCATTGATGGTAATGAAGATGATGATAGTGATGACAATGACTGTGTTAACACTGTGGTTCCAGCTGAGTTATGCAGTATTTCATCTGCCAGTATGTAGTATCGACTGAGAAACCATAGAAAGGAAGACCTGGTTGAATGCTGGACTTAGACAAATCAGTGGAGTTGTTCTCAAAGTGTGGTCGCTGGACCTTCAGCATCCACATACCTGGGAACTTGTTACAAGTGCAGGTTCTAAGCCCCCACCCCCGCCCCTGCCCCAGATCCGATGAATGGGAAACTCTGGGTGTTGACCCAGTAATCAGTACTGGGACAAGCCTTCCAGATGATTCTAATGCATGCTTTAAATTTGGCAACTACTGGATTAGTGAATGCTGTTTTAGGGTCTTGCATGAAAGGTGCCACATTGCTGGTGGGTTAGTATTTTTACTCTCGCTAAAATGTGAGCAGTGTACAATCATCATAATTTCACTGCATATGATTATAAATAAATATATGGTGGAGTCAAAATTCATCCAGGTGTGAAAAATAGTACTTTAGTTTTCTTTTTTCTAATGTTCATTTATTTTGAGAAAGAGAGAGCATGAACAGGGGGGATGGTTAGAGAGAGCGGGAGAAAGAGAATCCCAAACAGATTTCCTGTTCAGACTGACAAGGGGCTCCATCCCATGATATGTGAGATCATGACTTGAGCTGAAATCAAGAATCAGACATTTAATCTACTGAGTCCCAGTACTTCAGTTTTTTACAACTGATCTCTTCCTCTGCAGTCCCCATTCTCAGGGTGGGGGTAAGTCTCTTTCAGTTTACCTCATCCATTTATCAATTCTGAGTCCACACTCCTTTGGGGGATTTTCTTTCTTCTCCCACCACCCCTTGCCAAAGATGGCACCTGGGTGTAAGGGGGAGCTGAGACAGCCCCATGGGTCAGGGTGAGGCTCTGCCCCGGTGTGGTATCCGCCCCCCCCCCCTCCCCCCGGCTGTGGCTCATGCCCTAGGCTCACAGCCCTGACTCTGCTCTGAGGCTCTGTGCTCTGGCTCCTCCCACTTGCTGTTGGTACCTGGTGCTGGTGCAGAAAGCTGTGGTCCCCGGTTCTCCACGGCAGTCTGGTCATCCCAATCCTACTGTGCAGACCTTGGAATAGCAGCTTGGACAGTGGGTAAGAGCGTAGACCACCTCAAACCAGGGAGAAATCAAGGGGAGAAATGCCATTAGTAAGAAAGGAAAAGGCACCAATTTATCCCATAACTATTTGCTATACTTCCTTCCTTTTTTTTTTTTCTTTAATGAAAAACCAAAAGGGAAGACATTTGTCTTGGAAATTGAGATTTAATAAAAGCAGGTAACACTCTGGGAGGCCCTGGTTGTTATAATTGCTTAAATATGCAATTCAAGATTCTTCCCAGAACTCAAGGTCTAGGTTATATGACAAGGCACATAAGGAATTGAACTACTTTTTTCCTTTAGCTAGAACAAAAATTAAAGTCTCAGTAAATGTGGGTTTAATATAAACCAGACCTTATCTATGATTGTAGGCCCCAGTCTTGTTCTCTTCACTACTTTCTAGAATATGTACTAGATTGAAATTTTTTATTTATTTAGCCTTTAGTGAAAGCTTATAATTTAATATTTCATTTTTCTTTTTTTATGGTTATTTATTTTTGAGAGAGAGACAGAGAGGCAGAGTGTGGGAGGGGCAAACAGACAGAGGGAGCAGGGGAAGGGTGGGGGAGGGACAGAGAGGCAGAGGGAGACACAGAATCTGAAGCAGGCTTCAGTCTCTGAACTGTCAGCACAGACCCTGATGTGGGGCTCAAACTCAAGGACCACGAGATCATGACCTGAGCCAAAGTTGCACACCCAACTGATTGAGCCACTCGGACACCCCTAACATCTCATTTTTCTTGATTCTTCTGTTCTACATGAGTTATAAGCCGCTCAAGGACAATAATTATAATAATCATAGCTGATAATAATTTGAGAGGCTACTGTGCAGCAAGAGGGTTTATCAGGCAGGGAGGACTGGGTTGTGTTGCAATTACAAATGACTTCAGATGCTCAGTGCTTAACCAAACAAATGCTTTCTTCTTGCTCAATGTACTCATCCTTTGGGATCATTGGGCAGCCTCTGCTCCACATGGACTCTCAGGATCCAGATTGTCAAAGGGATCTGTGTTCCCACAGTCTTCCCAGCAGAGCAAAGTGGATGTGGCCAATTGCACAGCATCTCTTAAAACTTCTGCCAGAAGTGACCTATCAGTTCTGTTCACATCCCATTGGCTGAAGCAAGTCACATGGTCATATTTAACTTCAAATTGGGAAGGTGAAATCCCATCATGTGCTGGGAAGGAGGAGAAATATTTGGGGAGCAGCGCCAATGATTATACCAGGCATGTGTTAAGTTCTTGATTCATGTTGTCTCCATCTTTACAAGTCCATGATGGAGGAACTGCATTGGACCCATTTTTTTTATAGTGTGAGAAACCAAGGTATCACACTTTGTTTCATTTTGTTTTTTAGAGAGAGATCAAAGCAAGTGGGGAAGAGAGAGAGAGAGAAAGAGAGAGAATCCTAACCAGGTGCTACACCCACTGCAGAGCCTTGACATGGGGCTGGATCTCAAGACCATGAATCAGACCCTTAACTGACTGAGCCACTCAGGTGCCCCAAGTTCTCATATTTCATAAATGATGGAATAGGACATGAGACCAGATGTGTTGCATTCTAGTATCTGTGCTCATGTCCCCAAAGCTAAATGGTTTCTTCAAGAATAATGACTTCACTTTTGTTGAGCCTCACAGACTATCAAGGCACAAAGTTTAAGTGTTCCATCCAGTTTATCTCATTTAACCCCCACAACAACTTTGTGAGGTGGATTCACACATTAGCTAATGCTGAGGGAAACCAAAGCTTAGAGAGGCTCTCACAAGGAAACCTGACTCTTATCCAATTCCAAGGACAATTCTCTTCATCTGCACTATACGTCAGTGTTTGTCAGTGTGAATGCTCTTCATGAGAGTCCCTTGTGGGGCTATTCAGATGCCAGCCCCTGGACCCCATCTGACCTACTGAGTCAACTTGCTGGGGAGGGCCTTGGGCACAACAGCTCTGGTACTCATGAGCTTGGGACCCACGAGCCTGTTGTCACTCTCACTGGTGCTGCCCCTGGCTTAGCACCTTGCTTCTCTGCTGGTGACTCAGTCAAAAACAAACAACAAAACCTCAGCTTGCCACCAGACCCAAAAAGGTGATTATTTCTTTGTCACTTTGCCAGCACTTACAGGAAAAGGTGAATAAATGAACACATTCAGTGCCACGTTCCTGAGCAAAATCCTTGCCATCAACATTTTTTAAGACTTAAGGCAATAAGGGAGGGGAAAAAATCAAAATTATTTCTCACTGAAATTAACTCCACAATTTAAGTCATAATTATAGAACCCATTTCTTACCTAAAGCAAAATCCAAAGACATTAAGATTCTGTGAGTGTAGACAGTAGGTCCCTTTCTCCCTCCAGAGCCCACAGGAAAGCACCTAGATGCTGATGCTCAGAACACAGGAAGGGCAGGTCTACCATACACAACTGTTAGGCTGAGCAGATGCAAAGTGAGGATGACACTCACATAGCCTGTCATGTACCTGCGATGAGGAGGTGTCACAGATATGACTCAAGGGACCTGAGTTTTGAGCCAGTCTCAAACTTGTGTGGCTTGAGCATGTCTCTTAACCTTTCTAGACCTCAAAAATGTCATGATTTTGTGAGGTGCAATATAAGGAGATTTTACAGATTATCCCATTTATTGAATACTTTATATGTCAAGAGCCCTATTCTAAATGCTTTAAGTCATGTAAATATCAGAATAACCCTATGAAGTAAGTACTATTTTTTTTTTTCAGAAGAGAGACCGCTTTTGTTGCTTGCCTTGGACTGATGCCCAGTGTGGGCAGGGCAGGGGGGTTAGGACTTGTTCTGGACAGTAAAGCTACCCTCAGCGGATGGGGGCCATGTCACCAAGCAAGGGTGTCTTCCCGCAGCCGGTGCAAAGCTGGACTGTCCAGAGCAGCGCCTCGTGTGGCAGGGGCGTGCAGTGTGGGTAGAAGGTGAGTTCACACCACAGCTGACAGACACTGGAGGGAGGCCATGTAGATGACAGAGAAGCACACAAGGCGCCTTGGGAAGTAGGCGGGGTTGTGAAAGGTGTGGAAGATGCTCCCACACTGAGCATTGAACAGGGCCTGGGTGATGCACCTCAGCTCCTGCCTCTCATGTTTATTCATTTTTGAGAGAGAAAGAGAGAGACAGAATTAGAGAAGAGAGAGAGAGAAAGAGAGAAAGACAAAGTATGAGCAGGGGAGGGCAGAGAGAGAGGGAGACAGAATTTGAAGCAGACTCCAGGCTCTGAGCTTTTAGCACAGAGCCTGATGTGGGACTGAAATCCACGAACCATAAGATCATGACCTAAGCGGAAGTTGGAGGCTTAACTGACTGAGCCACCTAGATGCCCTGAAGTAGGTACTAATCTCATCTCATTTTTACAGTTTAGTAAATAGGCACAGAGAGGTTAAAGTACTTATGCAAGGGCACGGAGCTGCTACGTTATAGGGACAGGATTCAAATGTAGGCAGTCTGGCTCCCTAGCTTAATTCTTAGCCCTATGTGCAACATACCCTGTTG